AAGAGAATCGAAAATGAATCTTGATGTGAATGGAAGGGGAGAGGGAGTGGATAAGGGGAGGGTTGTGGGTTGGAGGGACATTATTGGGGGGGGAGTCATTGTAATCCATAAGCCATACTTTGGAAATTTATATTCATTAAATAAAAGTTTAAAAAAAGGGAAAAATTAAAAAAAAAAAAAAGGACTTGAGCAAGTGTCTGCTGAGCAGGCTCAGGGATGCAGGCTTGGAGAATAGCATGACATCCGGAGTGCCCTCCATGAGCGAGCAGTAGAGGAAGGGTCCCTGGGAGATGACGAGGTTGGTGCAGAGGCAGCTGGCGATTGTCTGCTGGGTGGCACTTAGCTGCTTCTTGGCCAGTTCCAGGCCATGGTACAGTTTGTCCAGGTTACTCCTGGAGAGACTGTCCAGTGCCTGGATGAAGTGATCCGTCCCTGAGCCGTCCCTCTCAGGGTTCTCCATCAGAGACATGGTGGCAAAGACCACGTCGCTGGCCAGGAACTTGTGCTTGAATCCAAAATGGATGCTGAAGGTCTGCACACGCATATCCTTCATCCCAAATTTATTGGCAGACTCCTCGATCATTTCCCCCAGGTTCTCCTTCAAGGAGACGTCCATGGACTGAAACTTCTGCTTCACCTGCTTCAGAGGAAGACCCATGTCTGCGAGGAACTCCTGCAGCTTCTTCTGCCCGTGCACAGACCGGAGCTTGAACCTGGCTGCGGTGTAGCTCGTGTTGCACAGGCTGTCGTGCAGGGACCAGTGCTGGTAGAGTGCCAGGCGGAGGTCGTACTCGAAGGAGATGCGTGTGCAGTCCACAGAGAGGGTATTCTCCTCGTCTTCGTTTTGGTGGTTGTGCCGGGACATGTGGCGCTGCAGGACGCCAACGTCCGTCACGTACTTCATTTGAGTGATCTTGTCCTGCACCCACTGGTCCGTGAGTCCCACGATGGACCACCACAACATGTCGTTCAGGTCTTTGGACATCATCCGCGCCAGGTCAAACATCACCATGGCTGAAGTCCCGTGATACTCGTACTGCTCGTAGTCAAAGAGGATGTCTCTCCTCCGGGACTCCCGTTCTCTCCGCTGCCTCCTCTTCAGGGTCCGCTCCAATATCGCCTCCTCTAACCGTGTGCACTTCCTGGAAGGCTCTGACCCATCATCGTCTTCACTGTCACTTCCCGAATGCTCTTCGTCCTCTTTTTCATCCCAAAAGATTTCGTCGTAGGCAGGAACCTCAAGGTCGTCGTCTTGTTTGACAAGTAATTTGATCTGGGTGCTGTTGTACACATTCACCACATTCACGGGTCTGTGGGTGTCGCACACGAAGAACACAGAGTCCTTGTCAGGCTGCAGGATGTCCAGCAGGTCTACGTTAGCTCCGCAGTTTATGAGAATAAAATAACGGAACTGCTCTTTGTGCTCAAGGAATGCAGTTTCGAGTTCTTGCCACGCAGAGACCGGGACCAGCGTGTACTGCACGTGATCGCACTGGAACAGGGCCTGGAGGATCTTGCAAGCACACAGGGCGTCCACGTCCGAGGCTACGAAGAGAAGGACCCTCTGCCGGGGGTTGGGAGAAGGGAGAAGGCAGGCTGGCTCTGGACCAGCTCATAGAACTCCCTGCGAAAGTCGGAAACAAACATAGCCACTGCCGCTGGGCACCCTGAGCTCGGGTGAGCTGCGGAGAGCCCCGCCTTCAGTCAAGACTCCCTAAATTCACATTTATTAAATAAAAAAAAAAAATTATATAACAAACAAAAAAAGAAAAAAAAAAAGAACTTAATACTTTACCCTTTTAGTATTTTTTATGTTCTACTTAAAACTATTGGTTGAGGCCGACACCGCGGCTCACTAGGCTAATCCTCCGCCTAGCGGTGCTGGCACAACAGGTTCTAGGCCCAGTCGGGGCACCAGATTCTGTCCCGGTTGCCCCTCTTCCAGGCCAGCTCTCTGCTGTGGCCTGGGAGTGCAGTGGAGGATGGCCCAAGTGCTTGGGCCCTGCACCCCATGGGAGACCAGGAGAAGCACCTGGCTCCTGCCTTCGGATCAGCGTGTGCGCCAGCCACAGCACACCAGCTGTGGTGGCCATTGGAGGGTGAACCAACGGCAAAAAGGAAGACCTTTCTCTCTCTGTCTCTCTCTCTCTCACTATCCACTCTGCCTGTTAGAAAAAAACAAAAAAAAAAAAAAAA